AAGGGAACAAGAATACGTTTTTGATTAAACGCCCGTTTCTTAGGAGCAAGTGGTTAGTTCTTCAACTCCTACGGTGACGGTGTCAGGGATTCCTCCCATTGATAGTGCATTGCCTATATTTGAACCACTTCAAGATGATCAACAATAGGACAGACTGTGCAACCTCCATCAAAAAGAAGAAGAAGAGATCCAGTTGTCAGGCTTCAAGATTTTGTCCTTTCTCAAGGCATGCCTACTACTCCGGCTATCATAACCGCATAACCATTTAGTGAAGGCCCTAGTGCCATTTTTGAAATCGGTGGCTCCTCTATACCACCAAGGTTCTCTCCCCCAGGGGCAGATCTTGAAGAGGCTTCAATTCGTTTTGCTCAGTTTTTGGCTCAAGAGCAAACCACTGCAACTGCTTCTAATGCAAAAGGGATGATTTTTAATGAGGGTCAGTCTAGAGATGAAGATTATGTGATCGACGAACATCAGAAAAGAGTAAATGTGCTTGATCAAAAAAATATTGAGCTCAGCATCCAAGTTGAAGATCTTCTAAGTGAAAATACAAATTTAAAGATTCAAGTCTCTAATTTGAAAGAAGACGGAGCTACAAAGACCAAGCAGATTTTTGAGCTCCAAGCTCATTTCAATCTTTTAACCTCCAGCTACTTTGATCTAAAAAAGAATCTTGAAGAAGATTTTGGTCTTAAGTACAAGACTAATGCGATGGTTGCGAAAGATTACACTGCAATGGTTGCTAAGATTATTAGTAAGAGAATGTGGATTGGAGCCATGGGGCTAGATGATATAATGATCGTGAACAAAGATTGGCATAAAGCTACCACCAAACCAAAGGGAGATTGAAACGTCTAATTAGTGGTTTGGTCTAGGCTTTCTATGTAATAGGTTCTTTTGGCCATTTGATAGCTTATAGTAGTTTGTTTGGAGACTACGATCACTATAAGGAGTTTAAAGCCATAAGTTGTTTACGGCCGTAAACCTAAGGTCGGCCCATGATAGTATATATAGAGGTTTGCTAGGTGTTTTTGTAGTTGTTCATGCCTCAGTATTCTCGGCTCCTTTAAACTGCAAGTTGTACGAGACATGATTCTAATAGAAAAGTGCGTGCAAGCTTGTTTGTTCTCGATTCTACTCGTTCTTAATTGCTAACTGATTGTATATGCTGTTTGATCACTGGTAAGATCCGTTTTATGACCTTACAAGTTCGTTGTACTATAACCTTTGTCTTAGGAATTTATTTCCACCATTTCACCGATGCATTCGACTCTAGTGATGATGAACTACCATTAATGGAATTATTTAAGAAGCTTTCATAAGCATACATAATTTGCTCTTCAGATTACTTTGCTCATTGGTATTGCTTTCCTTTGCCTTCGAGCCAATGGTTGATATTTTTCACATCATTTCTCATTTTCACAAATGAAACTTTGACTGTCTGCTTTTACTTAGGATTTTGAAAATGAGGTTTTGTGGGTTTAAATAGTTCATGTTTCTTCCCTTTTACTTTGAAATTTTCAAATTTTGATTTTGGAAAAGATGGTTTTGGAGAATTCTGAAACTGATTTTGATATTGATTATTCTAACAAACATATCTTCGATTAGAAACATTTTCTCCTTATTGAAAACTTCTTTGACCTCCAGGTTGATTGAATTTTCATTGTTCATTATAATGAACAACATTTATTTAAATTTTATTTCGAAAAACCCTTTCATTTTGAAGATATGGACCAAAATTCCTTGAACGTTGGTTTTGAGCAAAAGTTCCATTTCTTTTGTTTTGAAAAATTGGAGTTCGAACATGTTTTTGAACATTTGATTGACCTTTTGGAAAATCCTTTTGCTTTTAGGTTGACTTATTTTGAACAAATGTCTTGTTTTGAGAAAAAGTCTTAAATTGTTCAGTTGATTTTTGATTAAAAACTTTTTGTTCTTGAAAAGTCTTGATTCCAATTAACTTAGTTTGAAGCATTTGACATCGAAACACCCTCTTTTTTGCAACTTTTGGAACACTTTCAATGAAGACATGTGACTTTGTATTTTGATTTTTCAAAACAGTTTCTTTTGTTTTATTATCAACTTTTAATTTTTCAGATTTTACTTACCAAACGCATTTTGGTTTTTGTATTTGGAATGTTGTTGAGTTCTTGTTTTGATTGTATTCAATCGTCCTTTATTTGAGAAGAAACTATATTTTGTCACAACTTTTTTGTCCTCTTCAATCATTTTGCTTATTTCTGGATTCACTTTGTCACCATTTCTAGTAGTGAGAAACACTTGATTTGGGAACACAACTACATCTCTACATTTGAAATATGGATAGACGATTGAGTTTGATTCAAGATAATGAGGACCTTTGTCTTTCATCATCTTTTCAAACTGTTATGTTTCTTCATAAACATGTTCGACAACAACTATGGGAATAGTTTTTCCAATCGAAACGCCATCCTGGTCACTATCACTATCACAGTATTCTACAACAACTTGATCTTAATCATGAACTTTCGATGTAGAGGGTTGGTCACTATATACCTTCACCATTGAATCATGAAAATTTTCTTTGACCTTAGCCATCGAAGTCATATTAATGACAGATAATTAAGAACAATCTACAATTTCCTCTTCCTTAATTTCAATGATATTCTCAGAAGCATCTTCGATACTAGGAACATTTTGTTGAGAGTCTAATGTGAAATTCTCAGTCATTAACCTGTCCTATTTTAGAGAGAGTTTCATTAGCAATATGCACGAAATCATCAACATTCAAGCCTTAACAAATTTTAAAAATCCATAAGAATATGAACAACTAGGTGCTTTATCAAATTTAGATATCTTCTTTTCCAATCATAAGAAGTAGCATAAAATTTCTCTCTTTCATACTCTAAGAAAGGTAATAATTTCCTAGGTTTCCCTTTGCAAATGTCTGACGAATTTTGGAGTTCAGTTAAGTTGGCATACAATCTCTTAACGCTATTACAATAGATGTTTCTTTGTTTCACTAACAATGGATTATCAACTACAACTGAATCCTTATCTAGAGTGATATTTTGCAATTGAAGCTCAAGACTATCTATTCTACTCTTCATAGATCCCAGATGATTTTGAGCATCTAACAACAATGTATTCAAACACTAAGTTTCGATACTAAGATAAATTAGCATATCATTAACATATGTGAGAGTACCATAAAAATCAGAAGAGAATGTACCTTCGATGTCACAGCTGACTTATCAGCTCCTATTGACACTTAACACCTCCTAGTAACTTTTTTTCTCTTTCGAACTGTCTTCTTCAAATTATGCAAACATCACACAATGAGTCGAGTTTCTCATTTCTTCATCATCTGAACTAGATGACCATATCTGGTAAGTTCCATCTTTTGCATTCCCACCCTTCATGACCGATGATAAACCTTTGGTCTTTAGTCTCACCTCTTCCAGCCTTTTAACATATTACACTTCATCTTTTGCTCTCTCCTTCTTTTCCTCTTTTTTTCTCAGCGTACAATATTTTGCAAGATGATTTGCACCATTATAGTAGTTACAATCGAATCCTGTATCTCCCTTCAGTTTTTTCTCACTCTTCTCAACAACACTTTTACTATCTTACTTCTCTTCCTTCGACTCCACTCTTGTTCCTTTTTTGAATGAAGTGTTACGCTTGAATTCATTATTTCTTTTGAATTTTGGATTGAAAAGCTTGTTAAAGAACATTTTCAATTTATTGTTCAAAAAAATCCTTTGTTGACACTTTCGACATTAAGGCCAAAGGAGCTCCTAAACTCATATTTCCTTTTTCTGTGATTTCATTGATTTCACTCTTACGAGGTTTGAGTACATTGTACAAATCTCCCAAGGAATAGCCAAGAAAAAATTGCTGAGTTTTTATCACCAGGCTGATGTTCCTCCACCCCTTTCACAATCTCATCAGAAATGTAAGATTGCATTCAAGAGTTGAGTGTGTAACATCATAAAGATTGGACACACTACTAGAAAAAGGCCTTTTACGACGCTCATTGCGCATCGTAAAACGCTCAGACGACGCGCAAATGCGCGTCAAGGAAGGCCCTATCATAAAGAGACACATGTGTTAAACTTGTTACCATTAACATCTAATCGTATGGACTCGAGTGTTAAACTTGTTACCATTAATATCTGATTCATAAGTCCTTTCAACAAGATTGTTACCTGCATAAATGAAAACAAACAGGAACATTAACAGCCCAGCTATGAGCAATATTGTTAACTACATAAGTTACTAAGAGACTTATATACTCAGCTGGTTTGTAATATGGCACTAAGAAGCGCAAGAATTATTTGTGTTTTTCCTGCTCCTGGTGGATCCTACATAGACAAAAGGTAAGAATTAACATATAAGAAAAGGGCATTATAGTAATTACCTCCATGCAATACTCAATGTTCTTCTGGATAAGATGATTTAGAATCTCTGGTACATATCATAAGGATCCCAAAATCATATAGTTGGTTATTGTTTAATTGTTTAATTTATAACATTTTTCCCAGGATAAATGATGTTTATAAAAATATTTGAGAAGCCATACTCAAATATATATATATATATATATATATATATATATATATATATATATATATATATATATTAAGTTCATTAAGTCAAAAAGAAACTAACAATTATAAACTTAAAAAGGATACTTAGGTCCACAACTTAAACCAAATTATCTGAGTTTAGCAACAAGATGTACTCTTTACCCTGAAAAGCATGATTGAGGTAATCTTGTTAAGTCTTATAAATTTAAAATGTTAATATAAAAAAAATAAAAAAATGGACAACTGGATTTACTTGTAATAATAATTCATCAATTTTGCCACTCTTCTTCAAGGAGAGCAAAGCCTCCTAATGATCAAAAGAAATTGTATTACAGGGGCTAAAAAAACAGACCAACAAATAATACTAGAAGATTTCAGCAAACGTGGGTCTGGGATCCTAATCAGACCATACCTACAAGTTTATTTCTTCTAACTCATCAAACATGGAATAAACCGCCCCTCTGGCGATATGGTAGCCATATTGTTCTTTAGGTGATTAGTGTCAACATTTCCCAACAGCTTTCCAGATTTGCCATGCCAAAGTTTAATATCAGTTCCTGTAAAGGCAAATAACAAAGGGTAAAATGGTCATTTACTCGGATTCATTCCATCCAGTCCATAAAAGAATAAGTCTTTACGTATAAAACACTTGGCATGGTATAAGAACATACCCTCTGAACTTGATGCAATAATTGTACTTCCATCAACAGCACCATGAGTAGCTTTAGTGCCAAATAAAGTGATGGTATACTTTTTATCATGAACATTATGGTGTTCCCATTTTATTTCAGGCTTTGACTGTTGAATATTATCGCCAGATTTTGGCTTGTCTTCTCTATACATGTATAAATTTGCACCAGTAAGATTTTGTGAAGCCACAATAACTGAATAAGCATCATCAACAAATGCAACTACAGTTGGATGGCCTCCAGCTGGCAGGTTAATTCTCATAAACCTACATTTATGATAGTACCAAAATAATAGAAATCATTATAATGTGGGAAACATTGATATAATAGTTGGTATAAAATTATAAAAACTTAGGACTTCTTACTTAAAGCTTTTACTTGAAGCATCATCCAACTTAAATACTCTGACTACACCATCATCACAAGCTGCAAGGACACATAAGTTGAATTCATTAAACTCATAATTGGGTTATTATTTGTAAAGTTAAAGATTGTGATGAGAATTACCGGTTGCTAAACTATGACCATCTGATGAGAAGCATAAGCCATTAACAGAACCTCCATGACCTTTTAAAGTATTTAAGTCTAATGGGTGATGGCGCTTGTTCAGATCCTACATTCACAGCTATTAGTGATAAATGAGAATATGATCTGATAAATAGATTGTTAAGAATCAACTAGATCACCTATCACAGTTTAAAGATACATAGATACAACTACATCATTAATTTTAAATTTTAATCATATATTTCAGCAACCAGGCTTGATTTCATAAATTTAAAATCAGCATGCAGTAGAAACAACATACCAGAAGTTCCATCAGAAAATGTGTACACATAACAAAATCTTATCAGCATGGATACTAAAACTTATATGTCCACTTTTGAATTTTGAGATATATTCAATACTTCTAACTTCAGTAATCATATTAACTAGCATCATGAATATTCCAGTGCATCTAATTATGGACAAATATTGGTATCTATGTAGAGGATATGAATGATCCTTACTAATGATTCAAAATCTTAGAAATAACTTTCATTTGTATTCCCGTATTTATAGGTATCGCCCTCCCCTGACGATTTCATTTAGAATTTTAACATCAACATTGTTTTGACATGACAATCGCTAGTATACCAGATTTCACATGTATATCTCCATCGCAATATCATATACTTATAACGTGAACAAAAAATGTTGGTACAGATAGCCGTGTATAAAGCCCTAGAAATTGAAGATGGAAGGGTTTTATACTCATAACTTATCAACGATTCAACGTGAACATCAAGCTTTTAATCATATTTCTCAAAATTAGGTTAGAATTAGTGACTCATTTCATCCACCAACTTCAAAATCATTTGATTCACCAAAAAACATATCAATTAATAAACACATAACCATCGACCCATCGCCTCATATGATTATCAACTGAATGTCGCTTATAATTGTTTTTTACCTTATCAGCATGTGAATGATGAGGCTTGGACTGAGATTTCTTAGTTTGCTGAGGCTTTGAATTCTTCAGATTCGGTGCCGCCGCTTCGGCGGGCTTTGTGATGGAAGCAACCTCCAATTTCCTCTTGCGAAAGTAGCTACTAAAGGCTACAAAAGCGATCAGATCTCCGAGAATCAGAGAACTAAGTATTTCGATTGGTACGATCGGTTCCATTTTCAGTTGATTTTGGTTTAGGATCAACGACGCCCACTCCTTTGAGCCTGATAATCATATCAAGAGTGCTAGATTCAGATTCGCTTTCTATTCAAAATGTCCAATTTTTTTGCTGGATACGGTCCAAATTTTACATAGGAGCCACCAAATCATTCAAAACTAGAAAAAGATATGTGAAGAATCGAAAAAATAAAAGCATTACCTAGGTCTCTAATGCAGAAGTTTCAAATGTGGTGATGAGATGTAATCGGGAAGTTAATGGAGCAATGTTACAGTTCTTCGTTGTGTGTTTTTCGATTAATCTTTGGGGAATCTGAAACAAACGAGAATCAAGATTTGCATTCCTAATATTTAGACTTGAGAGTATAATTAGGGATTTTTCTAACAATTTCAACATCGAGTGGGAGATATGGTGGTTCCAGTAGGTAGAAGTAAGTGAGGGAAGAAGTAGGCAGCAGTCAATGTCGGGAGGGGGAAGGAAGGAGCATCCATAATTTGGGCAAGAGGGAAAGGAGAAAAAAAAGGAAGGCAGGGTTTTTAATTTTTTTAGAATTTCATTTCCCCCCACTGTTAAAGGATGGAACGCGCGTTCCATTCAAAATTATAAAGCGACATCCTTAGACGAAGCGCGTTTTATTATAGGTGCCCTCCGTGTTTTTTTTTAGACACTAATTTAAGGGCATGCAATAATGCGTGTCCTCTATTGTTAAATTTTCTGAAGAGATGACACTTTTTTAATGTCACTCTCTTTTGCGTAACATAAATCAACGAGTGTCGTGGTTTGCGCGTCGTAAAAGGCCTTTTTTCTAGTAGTGACAGGAATATCAACTTTTTCAAGCGATCATTGTAGAGTTGATGGTTTCACATCCCATCTTCTTGAATTCGCCTAGTTCAAGTAAACATGGCTTTACATAGCTCTTCTTCATCTTTCCACTTCCTTGATACTTTTTTTTCAATGTATCCCAAATCTATTTTAAAGACTTGCATCCTCGAACAAAGTTGTAAACCATCGGTGGAAGAGAACCGTGAAGTTCACAAAGACACTGCTTATCATCAGCCTCATACTTTTCGTTTTGTGTTGCTATACTAGTGGATAAACCTACATTTCCAACTTGAGAAAATATATATGGGCGATAATTTCCACGAGTAACACATCGCTAGAGATCTTCGTCGATCTCGTTGAGATAATCTTCCATGTGATCCACCGACTTCTCATAATACTCCTAAATGAGCATTGGAATCTTAGTGGAAGATCTATGATTAAGAGAAAAACTTTATATAGCGTTCATGTTGAAATTCAACATTTTCATACGGACAAAAGTAACGATGAGATTTGGAAAATGAGTTCTAATGGACGAATCTACCTGAAATTGATCAGTAAACACTCGATTTATCAAACCGATTGCAGAATCAAAACAAATAAGTCAATTAGAACAAGTTTTATTAATCATTAGTGCGGAAATTTTTGAATCTTAAAGAGCAAATGTAGTGAGTTTGGATTGTGTTTAAAGAACAAAATCAAGAACATAAATCATTAAGAACACAATCATAAATAATTTCAATTTGGCTCATTGATTAGTAGAAAAGAGTATACAAGTAAAAGAGAGAGAAAGTGCACAAAGTTCCCCAAAGCTACTCTACCTCTATACTAACCCTATTTATATGGTGATACATACTCACAAAAAACATGTAAGGACTACACAATATGCTTCGACATTTCACAATGCTTTACAAAATACATACGTAGTGAAGTGCTAGACTGCGACACAAAACACACCAAATAAGACTTTGACACCTCACTAGAAATTTCGACCCTTACAAGTTTACACCTGCTATTGAGGTGCATTAGCTTTTGAGGGAGTTTCAGGACATTTACCAAACTACAAAGATTGTAGCGGAGATCACCTCCAAATTCGGGGAAAGCATTATTGGTTCTACACTACATTGCAGATCAGGAGATGAGGAAGATGAGATATCATGTTATGTTGAGGGATGATATCAGGGAGTTCGTGAGCTTTTCAGGGTGCAATACCTTTAATAATATGATTGAGAAGGCCTGTGAGAAGGAAATTGAGTTGGAGCTCCGGGAAAAGCAAAATCGAGAGCAGGTGCAGACAGCAGTGGGTTAGGGCAAGAAGCCTAAGTCCTCTGATACTCACAGAAAAGGCTAGCAGGGTCGGTGCTGATGTGCTAAGTGCGGAAAGCCGTAGAGAGAAGCCTGTCGATATACGGGATTCGGGTGTTTCATTTGTGGTCAGGTGGTCCATGTGAGAAGGGATTTCCCCAAGACGGCTCTGATATATGATGGCGCCTGTGCCACCACTTTAAGGATTATCGATGGCCACCAAGGCAAGACGGATGTTCCTATGGTGAAGATCATGGCCTTTCAGTTGACTACCGATGAAGCATGTACAATGTCGGATGTAATTAATGGTATGTCACTTCTCTCTATCTTATATTGATTTCCTGGTATGCTTATGTTTGTTATGATCTGTATAGGGAACCTTTTGGTCAATGGGTTATCAGCTCATGTTCTCTTTGATTCGAAACGCTCCGAGGACTTTGGACTCCCCTCTAGAGATGGAGATTGTGGATGATGGTAATGTGACTGTTGTGACGGTTCTCTAAGAGTGTATTCTGAATATGTTTGGTGAGACGTTTCCTATTGATTTGGTACGAATACCCTTGAGTGTATTGAAGGTCATCATTAGGATGAACTGTTTGGGGCCCAATGGGGTCGTGATTGATCGTGAGCAGTAGTTAGTGAGAGTTCAAGCCCCAAATGGGGAAGAACCATTCATTCATGGTGAGAGAGCTTCGCATGGACTGACTCCCTGTATAGTTGGGATGGCTAGGTAGATTCTACCGATGGGTTGTTCTGGGTTTTTGGCATAAGTTACTGATACATGGGTTGAGGCCATGTCAAATTTAAGCAGGTTACCCATTATGTGAGATTTTCCCGATATTTTTCCCAAGGAATTTCTGAGAGTGCCTCTCGAGAGGCAGGTTTAGTTTCGGATTGATTTGAGGCCTATTTCGGCTCCGATACCTAAGGCTCTATATCGCCTAACACCGCCTGAGATGTAGGAGTTGTCTATGGAACTATAGTAGATCCTAGACATGGGTTTTATCAATCCGAGCATTTCCTCACAGGGGCACCGATTTTGTTTGTGAAAAATAAGGACAGGTCACACAAGATGTGTATCGATTATCAGGAATTGAACAAGCTAACAGTGGAGAACCGTTACCCACTTTCGAGGAATGATGATCTATTTGACCAACATAAGTCAAATGAGGATCAGGGATGAGAATGTTCAGAATACAGACTTTGGAACTTGTTATGGTCATTACGAGTTTGTAATGATTCTCTTCGGCCTCACCAATTCGCCAGTACTATTCATGGACCTCATAAATATGGTTTGAAGGGTGATGTTGGATCAATCGGTGATTGTTTTTATTGTTGTATTCTGGGTTACTCCTAGACTAAAGAGCAACATGAGAAACATTTGCGAGAGGTTTTGGAGATCTTGAGGAGGGAGCGATTGTATGTTAAATTCTCCAAATGCAAGTTTTGGTTGCGTGAGGTGCAGTTTTTAAGGCACATTAACAAATAGGATGGGATCTTCGTGGACCCAGCCAAGATTGAGGTTGTGATGCTTTGGGAGGTTCCAGAAAACTTCGAGATTCATAGTTTCGTGGGTCTTGCAAGATATTATCGAAGATTTATTTAGGACTTCTCCAAGATTGTAGTGTCTCTGACCCGTCTGACCAAGAAGAGTCTGACCTTTAGGTGGGGTCCAGATCAATAGTTAGCCTTCGGGACACTGAGGCAAAGGTTTTATGAGGCCTTGATTCTCGCATTACCTAAGGGATTGGATAATTTTTTGGTTTATTGCGATGCTTCTATTTCAGGATTGGGAGTTGTTCTTATGCAAAGAGGACATGTGATTGATTACGCCTCGAGGCAGCTGAAGCCTCATGAAGCGAATTGTTGTGGAAAAAATATGGTTTATACTTTTCTTTTCTAAGAATTTATTATTTTTAGTCTTCGACCGAAAATAATATTTTGTTTATTTTTATCTTAGACAGAGGAGCCATGTGTATTTGGTCTAGTATTGGGTAAGGACTAAGCATATTGTAGATGTAAGGATGAGGAGTCTAGGGGCATTCATTCATAATCATATTGTATAGAGAGAAAGTTAGATAGAAGAAGAGTTTATGTGTGTGTGTGTGAATCTTGTGTCGGAGCATCAATCTTATCATCAATACATCATAGATTCATCATCTTCTTCTTCTCCTTCTTCTCCTTTTGATCTTGGATCATCCACTTGATTAGGATTCTGCACCATCAAGTGGATCGTATTGATACATCAAGCAAAATGTGGGACTTAGAGTTAGTATCAAAACTTGGATTGTATCAATCGTTTTGGCAAGATCTGGAGCGTTTTTGCACTCTTTCTTAAAGGATGTTACATTTTTTTATACTTTTTCAAGAAATATTGGGGGTTCGTTCTTCGAGTTTTTCATAAAAATGAGTTTTTGATCAAGTTTTGGAGCTAGAAAGGTGAAAAATGCTATTTTTGTTTGTAATCTGCGAGGGGTTTCCAGCCAGAAACGATTTGTGGTTCAGTAGTTTACAGTCGAATCGTGTTTACGGTCAGGAGGAGCGAGTGAGTTTTCGTCTTGAAGTGTTTAGAGACGATATTCATTTTCGGCTTCGGAGGTTTTCAGTTCGGAAAGCTCTCGGTTGCGCACATGTTCGTTCGTAGTACATGTTCGGTCCTCAACATTTTCAGCCTCGACTCTTTTCGGTCTCGCATCAGTTCTCGGCCAATAGGTTTTCGGCCTAGCTCGAGTTCGGATTCAGCCTTCGCATTCGCGGCCAATATTCAAAAATTTTGAGGAATGCAAAGATTCGAACCCGGGTCCCTTGCATACTAAACCAATGTTCTTACCAATCCATCTAGCACGTCTGATGCTTGATACCTTCCTTATTTTGA